CGCCTCTGCCGGCTGTCCCCCGGGCGGGCTGTGCAGGAGGGACCCGGCGGCAGGATCCCGGGGATCTCCCGAGAAAGAGCTCCGGCACCCCGCCTCGCAGCCCCGGAGAGGTTTGCAGCCAGCTCTTCCTCCTGGGAAGACAGAGGAGCACATCAGATCTGGCCAGGGATTGGCTTTTTCTCTGCCCCCCTCCCCCCTCCCTCCTTGGAAACTTTGGGCTTGTCACTCCAGCTGATCCTTCACAAGAGCAAGTTCTCCCCTGGAGGATTAGAGCCCCCCCAGCTTGGAGAAGGGATCCAATGCTCTGCTGCGGTGAACCATGAGACCCGACGACATCAACCCTAGGACTGGACTGGTGGTGGCTTTGGTCAGCGTCTTCCTTGTCTTTGGCTTCATGTTTACTGTCTCCGGGATCAAAGGGGAGACCCTAGGAGACATCCCCCTCCTGGCAATAGGACCTGCCATTTGCCTGCCTGGCATCGCTGCCATTGCCCTTACGAGGAAGACCGATGGCTGCACTAAGTGGCCCGAGAACAAATGCCCCTGCTGCAAGAAACCAAAGGACAGGGAAGTCATTGAGCTGCTGAGGACCCCCTCGGACCTGGAGTCAGGCAGGAGCAGCTGCGATGAGTTGGCCAAGAAGGCATACCTGAAGGACAGGAAGGTCCTCCAGGGAGATGACTCCGTGTCCATCTGCACCATGGCGACCAGCACCACGGCAGGGGAATGCAAGAGCCTGCTCAGGAAGGTGGACCAAGAGGAGATGCTGAGATACCTGGAGACCTGCTACCCAGAGATGCCCGGGAACGTGTTTGTGGGAGATGGCTCCACTTACCGTGCCTTGGAGAAGCAGTGCCCTTCTCCTACCTGGGACAGCGCAACCTGCCCTGACACAGAGGACAACATTTTTGTTGCTCCAAAAGACAGCATTATTGTCTGTTCCTACAAAGAGAACAGCCCTTACGACAGATACTGTTGTTATATAAACCCAAATGAAGTCAGCTCGGACCATGAGACCATAGTCTGAAAGATGCACATTTTATAAATATAAAAAAAATGTACGTACTGATACAAACACTATAACTTCTAGCTCTTATAGGGTAAAAAAAGTAGCTGATTGCACTGCATGGGACAATCTTCATGTTGTTACAAATTTAACCTGGTATTTGACTGATGCTCAAACCTTTTGTGCCTGAAATACTCTTTCTGTAAGTAAATGAGCATGTTTAAGGTTAAGAACTCATTCTGCTCTTTGGAAACCCATTTTGTTTTCTTTTACTGTGTGTTGAAAGGCTGAATGTTTTATCCAAGCTCCTAGACAAGCTAGCAGGATGAAAACAGATGGTGTCAGCTAAAATCAAGACAAGAATCAAAAGTCTGGAGTTCTCGGTATAGAATAATAACATACAATATGGATGAGTGGGTCTTATGAATAGTGTCCCTTCGTGTCAGAAAGAAGCGATGGAATTCAAAGTGCAGTTCAATTAGCTGGCTGTCCAATGTTAAGCTGTTAGAAAGGCTTTGCAGTTGAGACTTAGATTCAAGACTGTCTCTAGGTTTGTGCTCTTATTTGGTTTCACAGTACCTTATTTGAGAAAGCAAGAAAGTAAGGCAATAGGCTACTACCTTGAGAAGCTCCTGCTTCAGGGAGTGGGAATAGGATAGGGAAAATGTTCAAAGTGAATCTATTACCAGTCATATATAAAAGGGTACATGCTTTTAGCTTATTTTGCTTTCTTCTTATTTAATAAGGAATTCACCAAAGTGTTTGGGAGACATTTGGAATTTAAATCTGTATTATAAAAAGAAATTACAACTTGGACATGATGAAATCATTTCAGTAGCTTTTAAAAATATATACTTTAAAATATGTATGCAAACACTTCTCCGATCAGTTGGTAGTATAGGGCCTGTTCCAACTCCACTGGAAGTCAACTGATAGATTCCTATTGGTTGTAATAGGAATTGGCTCGGGGTCTTATAGAAAGTGTCATCTTTACTCACCTTTTAAAAAAACATCCAGATGTGTACCAGTGGTTTGCAAATAATGCCACTTTGCTCAATGTCTTCAAAGTTGATTTTTGAGGGTGCAAAGAAAAAAGAGAATGTTGCAGACAGATTTTTTGCACAGCCATACTATATGCTTTATTACTAAGTTCATTGATCACAGATATATAATAATAATGGAACCATTAATTGAATGACAAAACATACTGGTGACTCATTCAGAGCTCGCATAATGTGTGCACACATATATGTAATATAAATTACTACACATATTCTATGTGTACAGATGACACATTATGTGATATCTGTAATATTCTACATGTACTTATGTATGAGTTGTTTTAGCTACTAGTCAGCATATATGTAATCTGCACAACCAGTTTAAGGGTTAAACTGTTAGGAAAATGTTTGCTAATGCCTAGAACAATTTGTTAGCATTTCACAGACAAAAAGCCCTGATTTCCATAACTAAACTCTCAATGCAGCTCTGCAAAGCAGCTCTGTGATGGAAGTCTTAATAACAGTTCTCACTTTAGTTATTTTTAATCAACCATAATTTGTACCAGACAGATTTATTGAACTACCAGTGTAAAAAAAATCCATCCTTCTCTTTCAGGAGCCTAGGAATATTCTGCAGAGACTGGAATTTTCCATTGAGAATTTATTGAACAATTCATTTTTGCCTGTGAAATCATTTGGAAAGTAAAGGGAAACCTCAGGCACCTTGAGGGTCTCCCCATTTGCATGCTGATTTCAAATTGCTACTGACAACCAGCTCAAAAGAGATTGCCAAGGGTGAGGGGAAGGGAAGATTTCCCAACGTGGGTGTTTGGCTTCTCACTGGTGTATTAGACTTAACAGTTTGTTCAGCTATTTGTTTTTCACATGGTGCGCATTGGTGGGCACCACCAGGTGCTGCTAGTACACATAAAACAAATGCAAGCTGGTCTCAGTCAGAAACAAGCAGTTAATATCAATATCCTGCATGTCTTGCTTCCGTGGTGTTTAATTAAGGGATTACATAAGTAAATATGCCCTCACATTTGCAAAAGCCAGGCTCTTGGGGTCCCCAAGAGCAAGTTAGTCCCAATGTCTAAACTAAAAGTCTTCAACTAAAAATATCAAAATATGCAGTCCGGGACAAAGACAGCCCTAGGACTGCTTAAAAGAATAACGCAAAAGACCTTCATCACTACCATGTCTCCCTTGGAAGAGGTAATATGGCTAATATCCTAACGTAGTGCAGGGTAAGGCTGCTGAATTGCCTTCTGCTGCCACTGAACTGAGCCAGAGTTGTGGAATGTTTTGCAAAAGGTGCTCAACATCATTTGAGATTCAACTAATCTAGAGAGAGAAAATCTATCTGGCAGCTGAGTTCTAAATCAGTCAGGATTAGGTTGACAGTATAAACAATCCCTTACATTGCACGAGGTTGCAAGGAAATAGAGAATTCAGAGCACAGATTGTGAGAGTTTGGCAAATACATAAGAAGGATGAAGAGGTTGACTGTTTTTTATTTTGGTTAAATGGTGTCTGCCAAAACAAACATTTTAAAAGATGTTAAAAGGGGTTTCTAAAGGCAAGACAATAAATTCTAGTGACAAATGGCACGTCAATGCTCTAATGTGACGCAATCAACAATTTGGAGTCATGGCACCATATTCTGTTCTTAATGTAGTAGTTATGGATTTGTTATTTATGAAAGCAGAGCTTTATAACTGAATTACCTACAGTTTACAAAAATTATGTTAAAAATGTTGATGATCATGAAAGAAATCTTGGCTCCACTGAAATCAATGCGGCCAAGATTTCACATTATAAATTTGCAGAAGTTTAAGCAATATTTAGAGGCCATTTTAAGATGAGGCATTAAAATGATTCTTAAGTAAGCACAAATACAATTTTTAAGCCAAAGGTGTATGGATAAGTGTTCTCTCACATCTCTCTGCTTAACAATCTCTTCCCCCACCTAGTTCAGAAATAGCCATCATGGAGTAGTGTGAAATAAGTTTATCCACTGAAGTGATTGGGCTCCGCTCCATTGATGATGGTGGTTTTCATCTCAGGCCCTTAGAATTCCTAGAAATCCTATGCTTGTCCCCAAACAAGCAGATTCTAGGGGCAGCAAGGCTAATAGTGTGTCACAACATGCTCTGCAGGATATATCCTCCTGGATCAAGAGCGCTGTTTAATCTCTGTGACCACTCAGTTCTTGGCTTCTCTGGTACCATCAATCAACACCAGTTCTGGAGCTGGCTGTATTTTAAATCTAGATATTTCTCTACAAAGCAGTCATCTTATGGCTACAATCAGTAGCCATTTGAACACCTTTGAACTTGGTGTAATTAATTAGGAGCCATTCCATTGCTTTTACTAGTGTTGCTCCTGCTTTGAATGAATTTGAATTTGTTGAATTCAGTGTTGAATTCATGGATGTGATTTGAACACACAACACCAAGGTACATGCCTCTTGATGTCATTTCTAGCTCAGCAACCAAACTCTGGTTAAAATTTCACTTTATCCTTGATTTAAGTATCAAAACAAGGAACACAAAGTGTTCTGCTCTTAGGGCTAGGTCCTATTCCCTCTTTAAAGTCAATGGTAAAGCTCCCATTAAGTCAGTTGTGTGAGTAGGATATCAAATTGTAGAGACCTGGCGATGTATGTATGATAGGTTTATAAGACTTATAAAATATATTTTTGCACTAGCATTTGCTATGAACATGTGTACCATAGAGTGTTCTCCTTTATTAAATAATGTAATAAGTGATGCAAAAATCAGTTATAGTCCATAGTTAAATCTTAAAGTATTGTTTCGTTTATTTGTTATACAATAACACATTTATCCAGGTAGTTAGACTTTTTAAAAAGCCATGTAGTTTCTGGAAGAGAAAATCAGGAAGCATTTTAATCAGCTATGCTTCTATATTAATTTTCTTCTCTGAGCTCAGGTGTAGTTACCTCTTCTCCCCATCGTTTTTTAGAAAGCAAATATAAAAACAAGAAACACTGTATGACCCAATCCTAAAAAGTACTGAGTACCTTCCAATTTTCTTGGACTAGATGGAGAGTTGAATAGATTAGGCCCAGGATTAGGTTCTAAAGAACTAAGTTGCTATTGCAAGGATAGTTTTCTTTCACCCCTTCATTTGTCATCTTTTCCCCTTCATTGTATATCCATGTTATCATCAGTCAAATTTTGGTTATTGGAGTAATAGCCAGTTTCTGAAAGCCTTACTCGGGTACAGTAGCACCTCACTCCAAATAATTTACAGAAGACTACTCGTGCAGTAAGGGCAGTGAAAGTAAGGCATGCTGCTATGGCTCCAGAAGAGCAAGAATTCAAAGCCTCTCACTGGACTTGTGTTGATGGTTGTCCACCCCTGTGAATAGTCATATTGTCACAAGGGTCAGGGAATCAAAGGCAGGAGGTTACTGTGCTAGCCACTTCATTAGCTTGTGTGCTGTTGACTACAGAAACATGGTGCCTGGACTGTGCCTGGATTGATGGGACTGACTTATACAGTAAGATACTTACTTAGTGTCAAGGTGGAAGAATCTAGACCTACATCATCAGTCTAATTTAGACTGTCATGCTAAATCAATCTAAACTGTCAGCTCTTCAGAGCCTGGGCTTTGTATTTTGTGTCTTTGTATAGCACCATTGGGACTACATACATTTTACTCAGAAATAATGATCAGTGTAAATGACTCATTAATTAGATCACTTTGGAACAAATTTTCAACATGCCTATGACACAGAGTCCTGAGAGGCTTCATCTTTTGAGGTACACAGCACAATTTACCAAATATCTTCAATAATTATTTGAAGTCTATTCAACATCTGGGTACTAAGCCCACATTAAATCAGGTCAACAGCAATCCTTATTCTGATACAAGCCAATTTTATCCTCCCTGCCATAAAGGATTTCTGTAGGTTGCTAATAGTGCTATTAAACGTAATGGGTGCATCTACACATCACCCTACATCACTGTACAGCATGCTACAGTGACATAGC